CCATTTCATTGCACACTACCCAGCTCCTGTTCAGTGAAGCCTGCATGCTAACACAAACTTGGAAGTAAAGGCTGAAACACAGGTACCTGCATCTTTGCTATCATTTCCAGTTCAATACTAGTCTAACAATTATCCAAATATTCCTACTTGTATGCTATAGTATTAAAACGAATGTCAATGGTTACATTTCAATATGTACCTATTACTAAAATTTCAAAATAAAGCACATCACCTCAAATTAGAGGAGGGGCTGAAACAGCAAGCAGCATGCAAATTCAACAAGCTAGAACTACCTGCCACCCAATACAAACACTTATGTTAGCAGAAGGGCAATTTTCAACAATTTAATCCTTTTTAAGTAGGACGTAATAATCCAAACACACCAACTAGAAGAAGGAAAAGTTAAAAAGGAAGAAATAGAAAATAGAGAGGGTAACCTAGGGATGGGTTCTGCCTGGTAATGAGAGCCATTTTCAAAGACCATTAACTATCAACTGCTTTACTCATGACTCTGATTAAATAAAACTATTCATTCTATGTTAAAAAGGGTGTCTATTTTTTGAGGGAGAAGCTTTAGAATAAAAATATATTGCATGGCCTATAAAGAAGAACCAAGCCACAAGATAAAATTTAGACATCTGACTTTGCAAGACATACTGTATATGACTCTTTAAAATTGTTGGTGACTAAATGTTCAAATTATTTTTGGAGGGTTGGGAAGACAGGAAGAGAAAAAAAAATCATTGTTTTCATTTTAAATACAATCCTATGACTGACACTGTGTCCTGATGAATTGGAAGTAGTAAAGGACTACTAGAAGAAAAGTTCTTATAGAGCACGCTTGTAAATGGGTTCAAGAATGCTATTATGTATTTCTTATATATTTTTAACTCATTTCTCAGAAAAGTGCTAGGTTTCATATGAGTCAAAAAGTTTACTCTGCCCTATCTCTGGTGAGCAGATGGTCTGGTATTAATGTAAATCGCTGATTTAATTTTTAGCTTTCTCGATTTTGTCCCTCACCTATCTAGGAGATGATTTCTCTGGTGATAACTAACACATCATGCTAATGAGAGAATCTAATGCACAATAGAAAAATGTCACTACTAATAATATCTGCATGAAGTTAAATAAAGCAACTGTAAGAGAATGTCAGACAGTTGTTCTTTAATAAGACACAGTTTCACAATGAAATTATGTTGTTAATTTTGTTACATCATTGGGTGAATCCTAAATTACTACATAATGATGCACAGAGCCATTTATAATTCTAACTTAGTATTTCACTCTACTCTGAAAAGAGACCTTACTAAGGGATCTGCATTTTATTTGAAACAGGTTAAGTATACCTCAGCAATAATAAAAGGCACAAGCACCTTTGCTAATACGTGACAAAAAGCACTATCACTATTTACCTGCACAGTGTCATGTCTTAAAAAGATTTCCAATAAATCAAACTATACCCTTTCTTGGGGCAAGTTATAAGAATTTTATTTGCTACTTTCTGAAATACACAAATATCTATAAAACATGTAGAAAAATAGTATTGTAAGGTCTGATTAAAAAAAAAAATCCAAAAACAAGCTCCTTTCTCTGCTACCACACGCCCCCCCCCTTTCCTTTTTAACAATACCTTATCAATCTATACTGAGCAAAATAAGGTTTGGGCTACAGGAGATAAGGAAAAAGTGGAAATGGTTTTTGGATATTATCGATTTGTAACTGATCAAACTGAATCCAGAACTCTCAGTTACAAAAGTCAACAGTTACACCTTTTAAGGTTCTCAAATACCTTTCTACAAGAAAATATTCTTTTTCTAAAAAAAAAATTATATTTCAATGTTAGAGAAAAATTATAAGATAGGGAAATGAAGTCCAGAAGCCATATCTAAAGCTTTAAGGGAAACACATTTAATTCCACCACGTCTGAGTTTCTGGACCATTAAATCATTTGTTAATATTAGACAGAAGGTAAAATTCACATTTAAGGACATCTAACTTCATTCAGGTGAGATACAAGGTAAAGACTGTTCCAACTACCTTCCTAGCTCACCTTTAGAAGATACAGCTCTAGATTATTAAACTTCAGTGTTCATCAGACATTCCCAAACTACGTTTTCTACAGCTAAACACCATATGTGGTGAGCTCGCCACAGCTCAGTCTTGACACACCTCACACAGACTCCACTAGTCAGTCTCGTCCAATGCTCAACAAAGTAGTCAATGAAATATTAGTTGTTATCCTTTATTTACTTCATGAGCTAAATTTTTAGTTAGACACTAAAATAATCATCTAACCCCCCCTTTTTTTGTCCTAAAAATTAGATATATAGAATTCTGCATACCTGATTAAACTGGAAAAAACTTTTATCTTTAGCAAAAGCTGGCTTATGTGGGTATTGAAACTATTATCTTTCAAAATTGTTGGCATTAAGAGATAGCATTTCAGGAAGTGTTTTACACAACACACACACACATGCACACGCACACACACGCACGTGACACACACAACACACACACACACACACACACACACACACACACACACAAATTGAACCAGCACTGCTGAAGAACTATACATAAGGGAAACAAACACATTAAATACGCACAGCATAGACTTTTATATTTAGACAATTTGAATTTAAGCTTACATAATGTTGAAAAAGAAAAACACATACACACATGTGAACTCATACCCCTTTTTACATGACTTCCAAAATGCACAGAAGGTAAATATTAACCATGAAAGCAAATGGAAGACTTTGTATCACCAACTACATCAAAACAACAACAAAAATAATAAACCACAGATAGTTTGATCACAATATTTTTTAAAATTGTGATTTTCAGCCTTTGCTATAGTATTCTATTTAATAGGCATCATTAAGCATAAATCCCTTCCCTATATATTTATTCTCCTCACTGACATTCACTATACACATGCATTCATACAGGTACACACAAAACAGATTTCTCTATCACCCCCCAAACAGCTGCACAGAAAACACCATGATAGGCTGGTTATATAAACTCTAGGAGAAATTTAAATTATTTTCATAATTCTGACCTATTTTTCATGTAATTTGCTTTTTTAAAAAATCTTAAATGTTTTTCACCACTTAAAGTCTCCTTAGATGCAAATTTACCTGGAAATGGGCTAGTGCTAAAGAAGCTATCTAACATCATCTATGTGGTTCAATAGCCATTTATCAATTGATCACTATCTGTTTTATTAACCCTTTTTTCACTAGAGGGAAAAACCTAAAGCAATCTAACCTTTCAAGGCATGCATACACACTCCACTAACTTAAGCAAAACCCGATGGTGATCTCTAAATTTAAAAGTGGGGCATACTTTATTAGGTTTTAAGGTTAGTGAAAACACAAGAGAGCCACCCAGACAGAAGTGCTTCAGAAAAACACCTCGCCAAGCACTCTGCAAGGACAAGGAGCATCTCTGTTAGACAAGGAAGGAACTTTTCATTCGAAAGAATGGGACTGCACATAAAGAGTTGCTTACTGGGTTTATGTTGATTGCATTTAAATCTCAGCTTACTGTATCAGCAGTTATCAGGGTCCCTCTACAGGATGTCAAAATACACCTTACTCAAATACATTTCTCCTATGTAAAACTGGTTGATAAAACAGTTTACCAATTAAATGTTACAAGAGCCCGGCTCTATTCACCGTCTTTGGCAAATGTTATTTCTAAACTTGTGACAGTTTACAGTCTTGCAAATGGTTTTCTTCACTTCATTACCAAACATTTTAAAATCTACCCCAAAGTATTCAATTTCCGGGAACTCTTACATACAAAAGAGGGCTATTAAAAAAGCTGTTGCAGTATTTTTTAAACGAGTGGGGCAATAACCAATCTTTAAACAACCGCCATCTATTTAACAACTCAGTGTATTTGTCAGTACAACTCTGGTGCTGCGTGGATAATAAACTAACTCTTGCTTTGTATGGGTTTGGTGTAGGCTTTTGAAAAGCAAGACGTGTCTAGGAGGGAGGCACCAGGGAACTTCCCTCCCTCACTTGAGCACAGTCCAAAAGGAAAGTTTCTGGGTTGTTTCCCCTTCGCTTCCTCTTACCCTCGCTCCCCCGCGGAGCCGCAGAGCCAGCAATTGTGCAAGAGGAGCCCGGCGCGCCGGGCGCGAATCACCGAGCGCTTGGTACGGGCGGCCGCGGGTGATTAATTATCCGTCCGCTGGCCTGGCGCTCACCGGGAGGCTCTCCCGGCAGGGCAGCCACCGAGCTGCCGGCAGGGCTGCGGCTGAGCGAGGAGCAGGAGCAGCTCCGGGAGGACGCCGGGGCCGTGCGGAGTGTGAGTGCACCGCGGCGGGCGGCGGGCGGGTGGCGAGCCGAGCGGGCTGCACCGCGCGCGGCCGGCCGGGGGAGCGCGGGGAAAGCGCAGCCACCGAGAGAGCCGGCACCGAGGCCGCCTGCAAGCAGGAGCGCAGCCTGCCGCCCGCCCGCCCGCCCTTCGGGCTGACCCGGCCGGCAGGGAAGCCTGCACAGCCTTGCTCAGGTCTGAGTCCAGCTGCTCTCTGCACCAGAAGTCAGACCCGCTGCTGCGAGGGGCCCGCGTTTTATGACTGTTCAGCCGCAAGACCGACTTCTCGAGACGGCAGACACTTTGACCAAGTCTTGCACTCAGTCAGAAAGATACACTGGTTGAGTAGTGGCTTTTCCCCTTTTTAACGGGAAACAAAGAAATAAATTAAGGATTCGCCGGACCCAGGCTGCACACTGTGAAACTTTGCAACAAATGCCTTTTCTTTCTCTAACTTCAATGTCCTTTCCCCTGATTTCCTTAAGGAGCCCTTAGGGAAGCCATGAAGTAACAGTGCACATTCCAGGAACACAGTTGTGGGGAAAAAAATAGGTATTTTTTTAAATTTCTAAAACATTTAGAAAGAAAAGTAGCAGGGAGAAAAGGGCACATAACAACTCGATGTTTCTTTTTTTTAAAAAAAAAAAAAAATGAAAGTAACTTACCTGTTGGGACATTCTGAACAGGAGGTTAGTATCAGCATTCGGCCATGTCCCCATGAACCCTGGTTCAGCGGCAGTCGTTCTGGTTCCGAACTGCATGGAGTTGTCAGTACAGGAGTCTCTTAAAGTCAAGTCTCTTGCCCTCTTTGGCTCTCTGTCTCTCTGTGTGTCTCTTTCTCTCACATCCACTTCTGCCTCTTCTGACTGAAAAGTGAAGGTGGATTTTTTGAGCTTCTTGGCAGCCAGTAGCAGGAGTATAGTGTAGTTAAGAAGCTGGCTGAACTGTGCATTTCATTTGGGAAGGGGGAGATCTGGGGGAGGGAGGGGGTCAGAGCTGCCTTCGCACCTTCTGCACAGATATCCCTATCATTTATGCATAGATTGTGACTCCCCGAGCTTGCCTTGGCTCGGTTTAACAGCTGCCTGTCTGTCAGGTGTGCGGGCAGCACTGGAGACCCAACCATCAGCTTCAAACCCGCAGCCACCGCATGTCATTGGATAGCAGAGCTAGGAGTCAACTGCACTGTTCCACGGCCAGACACCAAATGACACCCTGCACCAACCTCTCTCCAGACACACAGACAGATACATACTCCTGCACACTCCAAGCAATGCCAAGCTCACTGTCCACAAGGCCAGGGAAAGCCAGGGCCCTTCCCTGGGAATTTTTTTTTCCCCCAACAATGCTTTCTGCTCTAACATGTTATATCCAGCATAAGTCTTTGCTTTAACACTTGTAAAACTGTGATGCTTAAATATTTTTAATTACAATGGAAGCAAGGAGTCATCTTGAGGGGAACATAAAGTTTGCTCTGTTGTTGTTGAAATAGCTGCTACAAGTCACACAGTACACGATGAGCTATTTATAACCACATATAAGCTCACAGAGAAAATCATGTACAGAGATTTGACCTTATATTCTAAAGGGTGAGCAAGTGCACCTACCAGTTAAACGTGGAAGATGTACAATAAACATATGCAAAAATAAATATGTATCACTTAATATCGAGCACCCCAGGCCACTAACTACCAGACTGAAGGTTCAGTAAGGAGAAGCTGAATGCAAAAGAGAAAAATGAATACATTTTTTTAAAAACTCACAAGCAGAATACATTCCTTTGTTAAAGTTCTCAGGTAAAGCATCTACAGCATCCTTTTAAATCATAAAAAAAGGAGAAAGAGGAAGGAAAAAAAAAAAACCTGTCCTATTTCAGGCAAAAAGTAATGCATATAAAAACTTCATTTTTTTCATTTAGGATCTCTATGGAAAATTCTATGTTTCCCTGCCTGATGAAATATAACCTTGATAGCAGGTCATATTCTTAATTAAACTAGTTTTAGAATAAAACATCTATTTACTAGATAATATTTAATCTACCTTATTTATGGAAAAGCAGAACTGAACAAAACCCACTGTACATAAACACTGGAACTTCAAAATGGAAAGCTAAATTCATGCCATCTCATAAAAGTAGTCAGCAGGAAAAAGCCATCCTTCCTAAACTTAAAATGTAAGGACCATTAATCTTCAGCCACTTACAAACACTGAGGACAAATGTACCACTCTGCTTGCTCCTTCTTAACTAAAGAATAACAATAAACCTTCCTCTCAGAAACAACAAAAGGAACAGAAAAGCGCTTCAATGGCAGCCCTGTGTCATTAGTGGACAATGAGGAAAGATGAGAAAACGTACACTGTGTTGACACAAATGTGCCTTCCCTTCTAGAACTGACATCTCCTGAAAGCTTTTCTGTTAAACTTCCCTCCAGTTCACCACCATTAAGCACAAAAAAGTCTCAAAAGAAGCAAATTCAATATCTGAAAGGAAACAAACAAGAAACCAAAGAATTGTTGCCTTAAAATATATTAAGTCCACCTGTGGTCAATAAAAATATTCTTTTGCAGGGGAGGGCGGGAAAAGCCCCTATGAGTCAATTGTCAATGGTGACTGTACCTTTCCTGCTATTACCCACTTAACTCCCTCTAAAATTTGCTAGCCTCTTGATTTCTGAAGTGGCACTCAGTGCCTCAGTCAAGCTGCCTGCTCAGCTCCTGACCTTCCCACTAATGGCTGTTATTTGTGGGAGGCTTAAGGACACTGTCAATAGCAAGCTTCCTCCTCGCTCCACTCAAGCACTGTTGTATCGCTCTGCCTGCCTGCGTGGTCTCTCTCGCCTCTCCTGCTCTCTCCCTCTCTCCCAGTGCTTTCCCCCACTTCCTCACTCTCCCTCTTATTTTTCCAGCCCCCACCCCTTTTCTCTCAGTTCTGAGATCCTCTTCTTTCCCACGAATCCCACCCACCCACCATGCACACACAAACACACACACACACACACACACACACACACACACACACACACACACACACACACCACAAAAATCAACTGGCATGCAGCAGCAAGCACCTGCAGTAATAGACTCTTTTATTAAAACTGTTATTCTGCAAGACTTGAAATTCCCCATGGACCGGGCCATGTCAAAGCCGATATAATTAACTAGAGGCTCAGCAACGGATCAATTACCAGACAAGCAAGTGATAGTGAAATCAATGAAAGATCATCAGCCACATTATCAGTGTTGCAACTCATTAGGGCAAAACTGAGAAATGTGCTCAACTCGAGCCCAAGCAAGGTGGCATTACAAAACAAAGGGCTAATTTGGAGACCCTGCTGTGAACAATCTGTAACAGAATTAGCCTTTTTTCCCCCTAAACTGCACAGCTCCATAACTAAATGTGACAGACTGAGAGAAGCAGTTTATTAAGACACCAACCCCAAGTTTATTTAGTTCATAAACTCTCTCCTAGAAAATCAATACAGTCTGTACAGGGTTATTAGGCTGACTAGCTAATACATCCAAATCCGGTCTGCCCAGGCAGCAGTCCTCGGACAAAATGCTACCCAGAGGATGCAGACTGCAAGGTCTAACTGAACAGGTCTGCAGCATAACTATTACCTCAAGATTCCTGCATAGCCACGCCTTAAAAACACCAGGATAGCCTTGTCAGATTTAAAAGGAAAATCACAACAATCACTACATGGTACTGTACCTGCTAGATGCATTCTGTCAAGCAGAATCTTAACTAGTTCCTAAGACCAGCTAAAAAAGAGTGAAAGTTCTGTTATACTAACAGACAAGAACCCAGAGTTAACCATAGATAAACATGTTAAAATGCAGCACAAAACGAGAACGTGTGTTATGCTTTGTAAATTTAAGTTTCTGTCATTCTTTTTTTAATAAGTTTTAGAAAATAAAAATCTGACCCTTCTAGAAAGTCCCAAAATATATTATGGGAACTTGCCATTCATTTCTACAGGGCAAGTATAGATTCCTTGATCTCATATTTATCTTGTAGCCAGTGAGAGACTTGAATCATTTTAAAGACACAGGTCCCAAACAAACAAACAACAAAACCAAGGTGCTAAGATACCTTCTAAGGTTTTCCATTGGCTCTATAGATTACAGAGTAACTCTCTGGAATAATTTGTATCCAAGTTATTTACAGCGAGGCACATTTTCACAATGACTGCTTTCTTTTTCCCTGATTCTAAGTCATGTACTTCAGGTTAAGGGATCACAAGCATGAAAGGTCACATGACTCTGCTCACATTTGCTGAGAGTGAGAGGTGGGCTGTGTAAACTCCACAGAGCACCAACTAGTTTTCAAGCCCCTGAAGAATGTGTAGGACTAGGAATAGCTCATACCACCACACAGCGACAATACCCAAACACAAGACCCTGAAATGCATTTTACAGTGGTAACGTAAGACCAGGAGACTGAACAAGGTTAGGGGAAACAGCATTGGAAAGGATGGTGATGTTTGAACTTTAAAAATGTTCAAAGGGGGGAAAAAACACCCTGCACTATCAATATGCCTTCAGTACAGTCAACTGCCTTCAAGATTCTAAATCTTAAACCTTAATTAAAAAAAAAATAAGTAAAATTCAGTTTATATATGCTACAACTAAACATTTGTTCCTAGAATTTTTGGCTGGTCCAGCCTTATCAAATATTCCATAAGTCACGTTTCTAAGTAATATTTTAAAAATTCAAGCATATATACTAAACCTGTACTATGTATCAGTAATTTGGATAGTAATTAAAAGTTGTAATTACAGAAAATTCTTACTTTTTAAAACCTTTTTGTACATAGCTACACACTGTGCAAGTGCCCTCAATGAGATCCAATTAGTTCACAAAGAATTTGCATTTCAGTGAGTGGGGGCTAACCAGACCACAGGGAGGCCAAGTGCAATTCCACCAGCCCAGTAAGACAGTGTGTTCTTTCCTGTTAGCTCTGGAAGCAATGATTCCCACAAGTGGCTGCTTAAAATGTTACTATCTTTTCAATATTTAGGCAGTGAGGTAAATTCTGGCCTTTCCTTCTATTTCCTCCAAAACTACGTGTGTGTGTGTGTGTGTGTGTGTGTGTGTGTGTGTGTGTGTGTGTGTGTGTGTTTTAAAAGAGAAATCATATACATATATATACGTGTATATATATATATATATATATATATATATTTATTTATTTATTTATTTAAGACAATGTCTCACTATGTAGCCTGGGCTTGCCTGGAACTCACTATATAGACCAGGCTGACTTCAAGAGATCCACCAGCATCTGCCTCCCCAGTGCTAGGATTAAAGGTGTGCTCCACCATGCCCAGCTTTACTTTTCTTCTTAATATTTAGTTTCTTTAACTCACTGCTTTCTTAAAGCCCCTCTGTGGCTGGGAACAGAGAAGCTATGTAAAGGATAGCGCTCTGTGCTAAGGCTATCATGCCCTGAGAAAACACTTGGGGGCTTTTCCCCCCTAGCTGTGACTACAACAATGTAAATCCTGAGCAAATATAAAATAAATGTATGGTGTATGTACACAATTTAAGAAGCATCCCCAAGACTTCCGATGGCTTATGGAGCAATACCTGTGATTCCCTGGGTTCAGTCAGCAGCTGTTAGCAGACTCTAATCTGTAATGACAGTATACTGGCCTTTGCTCTTCTTTTATTCACTATTCATTTCCAAAGCTTGGTTAAGTACAGAGCTGGGTTAAAGATCAGTGGTTTTTCATGTGACACACGCTGGTATTCATCTAATGGCTTGTCAAGACAAAACTGTCCCTGTTCTTGCCAAAATAATAAAAAGGACGCTCCACATCGCATGACAATCAGCACTTCCTCATGGCGAAACAATTCAAGCTTTTTGTGATTCATTTATTTTATAGGAAAAGATGTTGACTGGCTATCCAATCTTAATGTAGAGAAGCAGGCTGTCATTCTCAAAGAAAGCTTTAATGGTTTTTGCTCTCAGAACTCTAAAGCACCATGTAAACCAGGCACTAATCAAACGCAACTTTAACATATAAAATAATGCTGAAGCCTGGGTTCCTGATACATTAAGGTGCATAACTTAATATATGCAGATTATGCAGGAGCAGCAGGCTGGACTCAGCCACAGAGGTGGGGCAGGCAATTGAGGAAATGTCATTTTTCTTGAGAACAAAGTGTGGGACTTGCTTTGCAACATCTGTTGGTTTGTGTGAAATGTTAACAGATGTCTTAAGTGGAAAAAAAGGAGAGAGGGAGTTAATAAAGGGAAAGTCCTCTGAACAGATAATCCACCCGAATTTCCATATTCCTAAGGAAGAAAGTTGACAGCGGCCTTTCCCCTTGTGAAACCTAATTCATCACACAAAGTTTCATTTTCTAGGTAAAATTAAGGAGCAAAAATTCTGACTCACTATAAAAGAATAGAAAAAACTAAAACTAGCAATAATTTCAATTTTTTTTCAAATTTCAAATTTTTGTGTTTGCTTTCTAATTATATAGTTATCTATACTGCTTCTTTTTCCCTGACTCTCAAATGCAATTTGATGAAAGGAGAGTACTCATATCCCTTCAAACATACAAACATAACCCCAATGGCTATACAAACATATGCACAGAAGAAACAATACCTGCCATATTATATGTGCATGCTGTGGAGAAGGGGAAGGAGGGGAGATTAAAAAGCAGTTCTTAAGATCATCCATCTTTTTTGTTTTTTGGTTTGTTTCACTTTATCTACCTATCTATTTATTTTATTTAAGACAGGTTCTTTCTACATAGCTGTCCTGGCACACACCACGTAGCCCACCTTGGCCTCAACTCAAACTCACAGAGATCTGCCTGCCTCTATGAACCATCTTTTTTAATGTAAAGGCACTCATCTTCACAATTAAGAGTCACCTAATATTTACGCCTCCATCCTTGCTTGCTCCCAGCTACTCTTTTTCCATTGCTCTCTTTGTAAAGAGATCATAGCCACACCCACGTATTTCAACAGTCAAGCATTCCCAAGCAGTAACACCTGGAAATTGTGGATCCCCATGTTCAAATTTTAAGGGACCTGGCAAAATTTGCTTATTTAGCAGTTTTTTTTTTTTTTCTTATTTCAATTTGTTAGGTGACTGAACCAAACATGTCCATAGCAATCTTTAATTCAGGCTAAAAAGATGATGCATGGGCAGGAGGGACATGGGGGTTCCCTTTAATCCCAGCACTTGGGAGGCAGAGGCAGGCAGATCTCTGTGAATTTGAGGCCAGTTTGATCTGGTTCCACACCATGAAGGAGCGACCTAGTGAGATCCTATCTCAACAATAAAACAAGGAAAAAGAAAAAATAATAACAAAAAGATGATTCATGCAGGCCAACAACTGAATGTAACCAAGTGTTGTGTGTAAATGCTCTGAACTACATAGGCATCTATTCTACTGCTTTTCCTACTAAAATCTTTAAGAATTTAGGTTTAGAGTCCATGAATTAGCTAGTTTGAAAATCACTTAAGGATCTTTATGGAGAGGAGAAGGGAAAAAAATCATGTCGCCATCTATGATTGGAGTCTCAACCCCTGAACCTCTCTCCTCCAAGAGCTGTGTTAGAATATTTACAGCTATGCCTTTGCCAGGGGGCTTGGACAAGCTGGGTTGGGCATTTCACCATATAGAAGAAGCTTCAGCCAGAACAGCATGAAGGCTTCAGGGAACAAGATCATGGTCCAATTTGTAAGTAACATGTTCATACATGCCTTCATTTTTAGTTAGTTTTCTACCAAACCATTATGGATACTAAATACTCCTATGTTAACTCACAGGAACACCAACCACATTAGTGCCCAAGACTGAAATAATAACTGCCATGTACCGAAAAAAGAAGAAAAATGGTGACCAATACAGAGAGAGGAGATCTTATGCATTAAAAACATCTTTATGTGACCCGAAAAAGAACACAAGCCCCAATATAAGGTTTGAGACCCTTTAATCAGTGACATTAACATTCCCCCATAGGAAAATATTACCTAAAAGCTTCACCTGAAAGAGAGAAACTACTCCAATTGACAATTGTCTAACAGTGACTGGGATGTAGCATCTGTTGACAGCCTCATCAGGGGCTCCATTCCATCACACACTTCAAGGAAATACCCAAATGGTATAATCCTTTGGTACTATGAAAATATGAATATGGACAGATTTGGGCAGGGCGTAGTAAATAAGATAGTTTACAAAATACCAAGGAATAGCTGAATCCCTCGGAATCAAGATTCATGTTTCAAAAAAGCATCTCCGGTCAGTATAAACCTTGTGCCCACAAAAGATCAAACATTTTACTACCTTGTTTTGATCTAAAAACTGAAAAATGACTTTAATCTTTCTGTGGGTACAAGCAATGACAAAAGCTTTCTTTCCACCACTAGCTACAGTTTGTTTTTTTTTTTTTGAAAAAAATCTTCTGAAAGAATCAGTGGCATCCTTCCTTAAATGAGTATGAGGAGGAATAGAGCAAAAACAAAAAACAAAAACAAAGCCAACAGGCTGGGCCAGGGAGGTGCACTGGGGAATTACTTTCATATGACCATGAAAGTTGCAGGATTGTAAAGACAATATTAATTTTTTTATTTACTTCCTTCTAAAAACTGCAGACTGAGATGCTGGCAGCACCAGTAAAAATGTCATCATAATAGTTTAAATTACTGTCAGGAAGTAAGATTGAGATTCACTTGCACACAAGAAACCACATTACAAGGATGGGCTCAATACCTTACAATTATTTGAAGAAATACAACACTTAAGTTAACACATAAAAAAGACACAATAAAAATAGTACAATACATGTAATTCTCAAATCTAAAAAAAAATAAATCTAAAGAGTGAAGTACAAGAATGAAGTTTCAAAAATGCCAAGACTATTTTATTTTATTTTTGGTTTTTCGATACAGGGTTTTTCTGTGTAGCTTTGCGCCTTTCCTGGAACTCACTCTGTAGACCAGGCTGGCCTCGAACTCACAGAGATCTGCCTGGCTCTGCCTCCCAAGTGCTGGGATTAAAGGCGTGCACCACCACCGCCCGGCTCCAAGACTATTTTAAACATGCACACAAACACATGTATGCAAACACGCACAAACACACATACACTTACAGACACACACAGACACTTACAAACACATACACACACATACACTCACTCACAAACATAGACACACACATACACACCTTTAAATGGAAAAACATTGATGCAAAGAAAATTTGAATGAACTTGCAGACTGGTTTTCAAATTTAAAACATTTAAAATGGGAAGAATTAGCTGGTAGTGGAAGGCATCTGGGTGGTAAGGGTCTCTGGTGGGGGCATCAGCTGGAAGCAAGCAGACTGGCAGCTTTTAAAACACAACCGTGTTGTCTGCCCATCCAGCTGGTGTCCTGGTTATGCTTACCTTGTGAAAACTCATGCTGTACACACACAGCATGGGCAATTGTCTGTATCTATGTATCTATATCTATCTACCTCTTTGTGTAGAGATAGATAGATGTTATATTTCAAGTCTATTACTAAAAACAGAGATGATGATCATAAACCAGCCCTAGAACTAAAAAGGATGAAGAGAAAAGGAAGGGGAACAAAAGGGGCTGAAACAAAAGAAGACAGTTTATCTCAGTCAAATCATTCAAATAACTGTCACAAAATTCTACTTCTTACAAGGTCTTCAGAGGCAAAAAGTGTTGGGAACCAAATAAACATATTCATTTCCTAGCATGAAGCTGAGAGACAGTAAAAGCGTGGAACCTCAACAGGGCAGCCAAAGCACGTGAGCATATTCAAGTGACACACACACAGGAAAGAGCAACATACCTCAAGTTGAGATGGATCAACCCCACAGCATGGGACCTTGAAATGTGCTTGCCAGTCTTGATCACCAAGCCTGCCCTCTGATTGGTAACTGAGGCAATTTGGAGGTGGGGAGGGCACAAAGCGTGCCTGTTGAGAGATGGGAAGAGGAAAGAAATTACATATACTCTGCAGACAGTGTCCTACAGAAACGCTGGTTATAGCACAACACTTTATCTTCAAAGCAGCAAATGTAACATATTCCTCCGACCACTCGTGACACACCTTTAAAAAGTTAATCACTGAGGTCTATAGCAACCTGCAGTTAAATACATGAACCATGAGAAAATGAACAATGGGGTGGGAATACCAGAGTAATTCACTGATGGGTAACATGGCACAGGGCTTCTTGTGTATAAGCATAAACCCCCCTATTGAACTATACCCCCAGTTCACTCAGTCCCTTTTCTTTAAGGGGCGTGGGGAGGTGTTCAAGAGTTGAGAGGGTATCTGAAACTGGGGCTGCCAAACACAGTTTCTACCACTAAGCGGCACCCCAACAAGTAGCTCAACTTACTCCATTTTCTTCTACTGATCATAAAATCATTGTAAACCTTTTCATTCATTGTTGAAGGACTATTTATCAAGCTTCACACACCAAGTACAAGAAGCTGTGAGAAACACCAAAGCAAGACATAATCCCTTCTCACAGGAAGTTTAAGGTCTAGTACAGAACAGAAGCTACGCACAAAAATGACCTTATATAAATGAGAATGTGATAAGAGAACAGTAGAACCATGTGATTTAGGAAAGGATGCCTTCCCACTGATATGGGGAATGAAAGCTTCCGTCCAAGCAAAGACAGCCTTTGTTCTGGGCACAGGGAGACGAGCAATATTCCTCTAGAGAAGTGATCCAGTTTGCCTAGAGCTTAGGTAGGATGCTGTATAAAGCAGTAATAAATGAAAGAATGTGTAAGCAAAAGAACTATCAGTCAGAATCCCACAGTCCATGCTAAATTGCTATTCTGCTACCCTACCACTACCAGCCAAGTCTACTAAAAGACCTCAACAGCAGCACCCTGTGATTGTTAGTATTCTTTAAGAAAGTGCATCTAGGACAACTCATTAAAATGTGACTAGAACAAAGCGAAGAGATCAATTAGGGAAATATTATAATAAACTGTGTAAAATAACTACTAGCAAAGAAGTTGATGAAGAAAAGCAAAGCACAAAAGACAATGCGAGGATGAAACAAAGGAGTAGTAAGAATGTCTGATAGGATCCAGGTAATACTGTTCATGCAGAGGACCCAAGTTAGTTCCTATGCTGGATGGATCACAACAATCTGTAACTCCAACTCAAGGGGATCAGATGTCTTCTAGCTTCCATATGCGCGCGCGCGCGCGCGCGCGCGCGCGCGCACACACACACACACACACACACACACACACACACCTCCAAGAAGCAGATACATTCATATAACTAAAATAAAAATGAATCTTTTAAAATGGATTTGGGTGACAAAAGTCAATGTGTCACTAGAGAACTGATCAGTGGCACCTTCTACAGGAATGTATGAAATAACTCAGGGGAACACAATCAGTTTGGGGTAACAGATGGCCATGCAGATAAGTGGATGGAAGAAAACTCAGAAAACAAACCAATGCTAGAATTATCAGATTTGGGTCCATCCATGTAAACATAACATTAAAGGTGAAAGAACATGGCCATGGTGAGCATCTTTGGGGAGACTTGAGGTTATGAATCAGAAGATAAATTTTCCTCTGTTCTGAATTACAAAGGAAGGCAAAGGATGGTTGGGAGTCTTAGATAATACAACATTTAGAGTATAATAAGAGAAATTTAATAGCAATTAGAAATATAAGAGTGATCCATCCGTTAAGACACTTGACTTGGTAGTATGTGATGCAATTCAAATGCCTAAATACTTCAGATGTGTTTTTTATTAATTTGTTACTTTGAGTAAAGGTATGTTCATCATACAACTCCCAACATATATTTGTGACTAAAATATTTTATTGTATTTATTTTTGTTTTTTAAAAATATCTTGCATTTATGAATTTCTGTGTCATATGAGTTGTTTTGGTATAGTAACAGATATATATGATCCATATTATAAAGGAGTTAAGAAATATGTAATTTGTAAAGACAAAGAGGCAGAAATGGTAAAATACTCTTTGAAGGAATTTTGTAAGAAAACAAAGTAAAAGAAATGTAGTCTGAAAAGTTAGCAGGGTTTAGGGAAGTGTCTTTAGGAACAAACAGTTTGTTTTCCACTACAGGAGGTTAAAAAAAAAAGTCTGCAGCAAGCGGAGGGGACAAAGCCAGCCGAGAAAAGGATATTGAAGATCTAAGCCAGAGGGAAAATGATACAAAGGGTCCTAGGAGAGAATGTAATAAGAACACAAATGAAAAGGTTCCCTGAAGGGAGAAAAACATTTCCCTCAGAAACCAAAGGAATGATGGAGAAAATTTTCCATGGTTAAGAAATGCAGGTATTAGCAGGCAGTGGTGGCACATGCCTTTAATCCAAAAACTCAGAAGCATAGGCACATGGACCTCTGTGAGTTCAAAGCCAGCCTGGTCTGCAGAGTTCCAGGACAGCCTAGACTACACAGAGAAACCCTGTCTGGAAACACCAAAACCAAAAGAAATGCAGGGATTGACTCATTGATTGATTGATTGATTGATTGATTTTGTGTTTGTGTGTACATAAATATATAAATACAACCTGCTAAGTCTATTCAATGTTGCTTGCAAGTACTGACCACTTGGTATTGGATAACCAATTAGGTAGCACCTTCCTAGGGGAAAGACAACTTCTCTCAGCATCCCTTAGTTGCCTGTAGCTTTTGTCTGGGGGTGGGAGCCCGTGAGATCTCTGTCTTCCACTTTTTCATGTTGTCCTTGTTCAGGCCTTGCCATGTTGTAACAATTAAAGAAGAGGAGGCCCGGAACTTGAGAAGGAGTGAGGGTGGGGGCCATGGAAGTTGTCGGAGGAAGGAAAGGGAATGGAAAGAAATGATGTAATTATATTTTACTTAAAACAATAACAAAAATGTTTAATTTTTTTTAAAAAAGAAATACAAATATTAAGAGTTCAGTTAAGAGCACTAAATAGCAGACAACTAGAGAAAAGAAAAGGAATGAGCTACTTCAAAAGGGCCCAATGAAAGGTCAGAATCAACAAGGAGTGAGTAGAAATGCAAAGTGGCAGAAAGGTGTCAGGAGTCTCGTCCCCCTCAACTGGATTCAAAACAATGCACTGGGCTAGAGAGATGGCTCAGTGGTTAAGAACATGGACTGTTCTTGCATGAGATACAAGTTCAGACCTCAGTACACACATGAGATTTCTCACAACTGCTGTAACTCCAGCTCCAAGTGATCTGATGCCCTTTTATGCCTCTGTAGTCACTTGCACACATGCGAGTGCATGCACGCACGCGCGCGCACACACACACATACACACGCTATTTTTAAAAGATTTATCATTTAAATTTTAAAGATAAGCCTTTTAAAAAGATAGTGGTTAGGAGTTGGGAATTTCAACTCTGAAAACCAGAATACTTAAAACCAGCAAGGGGTTCTTAATGCAGAGAACAATGCCTTGCTCCAAAACAGTGGGAACAGAACTTTAGAAACCATAATTATTACATTCATTCCCATAGTGATGAGTTCATGGAAAAAAAGAAAATACCAAAAACATATTTTAAATCAAATTATTTGATCTTTATTTAGTCATACCCAAATTCTAAGTGTTTACAGAGCATTTGTTTTTAAATGGCTATAAATTTACTCCTAGCTCATGAAATTCCCCAAAGCAAACAAAATACCGAAATACCTTAAACCTTATCACATATGTGACTCGAGTGAAGTAAGGAGGGGGAGGTGGTAAGAATACTGCTTCACTGCAAACATGAGTCAACGCTGAGTCTCTCTCCGCACTGCTAATTCCTACCTCCAGGCCTATGTGACCCCCAGTCACACTAAGTCTGCACCCAATTAGTGAGCTGCATTAGCAGAATCTGTAGTCCAGAATCCCTCTAGAGACCAGGGTAATGATGAGTTCTATCACCTGGCCAGTATCTACAGCCACCAAAGAACTACCTCAGGGACATGGAAAAGGACATTTATACGCTGCGCTGGCAGCCACTACAACCAGCCTTCCTAACAGAGTCACTAACATTGTCTAAGTGACCTGTCATATAGCTTTATAAAGTAGCATTAATACTGTGGGCCAAAATGAGATTGATCTTTGAGCTTCGTGGTCTCCTGCTGTCAACGGTGCATTATAAAACCAATACTAAATACTTTATAAACAGGTCTCCCTACAGTGTATTAGAGAAACAGTGCATATTTCATGGCCCATAGTTAGGTAGCCACATATCCATCAGGCTAATACATTATTTATTAGATACTCAGAAGTGCAATAAGAGTCAATAAACTAACTTCTGGATACTTGTACGCAACTATTTCACTGGAAATTGTACCTGGATGAGAAAACTTTCTCACTAACAATGGTGGACGGAAGAGCCTCTCTCAAGCATACTGTCAGAAGGAAGCACATACCTCTTGAGAGAGAGAGGAAAATCTTCTGTCCTGAAGAGAATTTTTGTCGTTGAACTTTAAGCACTATCCAACCCCATATTCATTTCTTTTACTTTGTATATACATGCCTCTGATTCTCCCATCTTCATGGACAGCTCAGAGAAATAAGGATGGGTGGGAACATGTCTATCATCCCTTATCTCAAGCCAGATGACAAGGTCCACTAATGCTTTGTACTTGTTATCTCAAAGAAAGTATACAGTGACTTGAGTGTTCACAAGGTCTGTGCTACATGTGCAGCATGGAATTCAGAAGTCATTAACCAAAAGTTTAAAAGAGCTTTTATTTTATTTCTTCATTTCTTTTCTTTTTCTCCTATATTTTCTGTTAAAGCTTCCAAGCCCTGAGATGCCTATGATGCAGTCCCTGATGCCCAGTCCAACATCACCAGGCATCTCATGCCTAATTCTACCATTCTGAAAGAGCACCCTCTACTCTGGAATGTATCCCAGCCCTTCAAGGAAGGATTTCTTCAGCTGGGAGTTATTTCTCAAACTATAAGAGGCGTGGACCTTTGT